GGAGCGCGCCGCAGCCCTCTGCATATTCTGCACACTCGCCTTCGAGGCCCCTCTCTGAGCCTTTTTTCCCCCCTTCCCATTTCTTCCTTCCTAGCCTTTCTTAAAGTCTCCCGTCGTGTATAACACCCCAAGGTATGGAGTTCCTGAAAACGCCATTCTTCCCTTGCTTTTTGGACGCGTGTAGAAAACGCCGAAGTGTTGTACTGAAAGATTTCATCATCTGAATGTGCAAGCCACGTTTATTGGCCGAGACACTACACCAAGTCTCTGGCATTAGGGCGCAATGAAATCGTCTTTGTGTTGATTTTACAGCGTTTCACTTGTTGGCTGCAGAAGGCGTTGGCTCCAGCACTTAACTCATCTTGCATCACTTTTCCCCCAGCCCGAGCAGCGGTTCTCAGCCCTGACTGAAGGTTAAAATCACTTGGGGAGCTTTTACAAATGCCCGATACCCTGATCACACCCTAAATCAATTGAATTGTAATCTCTGGTTATGGGATGTAGACTTAGGTGGTTGTAACCCTCCCCAAATGATTCCGATCCAAATTCAAAATCATTGTTCTGGAATTGTTCCTATCAGCAATTAAAAGAATGTGATATGCCCAAACAAAACTTTCCTTGACCTCTGCACACACACACACACACACACACACATACAATATCTTTGCTCCCTTTTTAGAGTCATTTTTTTAAACGGAGTGTCCACTTTGTCATCTTTCTTTTCCTAACCCATTTACCTCTTTTCAGGGTCAGTATAGACCAACACTTATAAAACGCTCTGGGCAAGTCCTGTTCTGATAGTGCTCTATCTCTCTGTATCCTTTGGCTCAGCAACAGTCTTTATTCTTCTGGTTTCCCCATCTCTTCTCAGCTCCTCCACCCCGCCACCCTGCTCCTAGCCACTGCTCTTGCCAAAGTATGACGGTAAGTCAAAAGTTTTACTACTAGGATTACAGTTTATACCTACAGTGGTTTACTCCATTAATGATGTTTCTTCAATCAGTGGATGGCTGCAGACATACACCTTCTTCTCATTATGATGCTTTAAAAAAAGTCAGTCAAAACAAAGGCTTCCAAGGGGATCTTCAGAGCTAGTAAAATTCAAGACAGTGAAGCCAGCTCAAAGTTATAGCAGGTGTTTTTATGGAATCCAAAGGGGGAAATCTTGACGTTTTTCTCAGCGGGTACAGGACCTTCATGGAGGCTTATTAGAAAGTTTTAATAAAACTGAAAACTGCATCGGTGAGAAAAAGACCAAGAAAGTTGCCCCGTGGAATTTTTGTCTTTTCCATCATGACAATGCACCTGTTCATTCCTCAAGAGTAGCGAAGGCTGTCTAAGGAGAATTTCATTGGGAAACCTTACTCCATCCATCCCACAGCCCTGGTCTTGCCAATTCAGACTTTTTCCCTTTTTCCCAAAACTCAATGAATCACAGTTTGAGTTCCTGGAAGATGCCGAGACTGCCATCTTGATGTAAGTTAAAGAACCTAGAATAATGCAGAGAAGAGCTAGAAAGCTGGAAATACTACCTTCAGAAATGTATTTAACTAAATGGGGGGTATGTCCAGAAACAATAGCTGCACATTTGGGTATTTTGTTTAATATTTTTTAATTTTAAAGACTGTGATAGGTAGGTTTATTGTGGCAACCAGGCCAATAAACACATGGGATTAATAAGGTTGCAGTTTAATTGAAGGGCAAAGAGATAAATGGCTCACCACGCCTCGCATTTCTGTCTCTTGCTCTCTGATGATCAGACCAGTGTGTGGCTGCCTTAGCTAGTTCTCTGCCTCAACTTGCAAGCTACACTACCTGTTGTGGGACACCCAACCCGTGGACCATGTTGCTATAGTTTGAGGTTCCTTTGAGACCTGCTTTGCCACACGGCTGGTGTATACATCACTTGAGCTGGGGACTGTCAAACCCTGTCATCCGGCTGACTGTTGGTGACCTGCCCTGCTGTTTGCTGCCTGTGACCAGACTGCCTGTATTGCTCTGCAGAAGACTCCACTGTCTGCTTCCTTGACTTGCACCCAGCAGCCCTTGTGTGTTAAAAAAGCTGCCAGTATATTAACTGTCTCACAGAAGTCGAACTGAGCCATTTGTACTGCTCTGTGGACTAATTATCTGTTTATTTCTTCGTGTTTTATATATTTTTTTTTCATAAATGTCCTGGTTTGTTTCTCTAGAGAACCCTGTCTAACACAAAGACCCATACAAAAAAATCATATCGATGTGAATGAGGGGGAGTGTGGAGTGGAGACCCAAAGCCCATCTGTAGACAATTGGACATCCCCTTACAGAAGGGTCAAAAGGAAGAGACAAACCAGTCAAGGGACAGTATAGCACCGATGAAACATACAACTTTCCTTTCGTTCTTCAATGCTTCCTTCCCCCACCCCCGCCCCACTATTATGACTCCGATTCTACCTTACAAATCCACCTAGACCAGAGGATGTACACGGGTAAACATAAGAGCTGGAAACACAGGGAATCCAGGACAGATAATCCCTAAGGACCAATAATGAGAGTAGTGATACCAGGAGGGTAAAGGGAAAGTGTGAGGAGCAAGGGGGAACTGATCACAATGATCTACATATAGCCCCCTCCCAGGAGGATGGACAACAGAAAAGTGGGTGAAGAGAGACATCGGTCAGTGTAAGACATGAAAAAAATAATAATTTTTAAATTACTAAGGATTCATGAGGGTGGGAGGGGAAAAAATAAGGAGCTGATACCAAGGGTTCAATTAGAAAATGTTTTGAAAATGATGATGGCAACATATTTACAAATCTGCTTGACACAAAGAGCTGTACAAACCCCCAATAAAATTTAAAATGCTTCTAAGCCAAATTAAATTTTTTCTTTGATTTTATAGCACTGTATTTTTTTTACTTACTCTTATACTTCAGTAACCTCCTAAGTGGCCTCTCTGTGTCTAGTATAGACAATCTTCCATGAAGCACTCAAAATGGCAAGATATGACAAAAATAATAATTTATAGATTATCAAGGGTTCAGGAGGGAGGGGGGAGCGGGGAGCGAGGGGAAAAAAATGAGGACTTGATACCAGGGGCTTAAGTGGAGAGCAGGTGTTTTGAGAATGATGAGGGCAATGAATGTACAAATGTGCTTTACACAATTGATGTATGTATGGATTGTGATAAAAATTGTATGAGCCCCTAATAAAATGATTAAAAAGAAAATATATATATAAATCATGATGTCACTCTCCTGCAAGTAATGCTCTAAGACTTTCCTATCATCAGAATAGTACCTAAAATCATTGCAGGATCCTGTCATTAGACTCATGGCTGCCTCTTATACTTTATTTCCTTCCGTTTCCACCTTATTGACTGGCTTCCCCCATTCGGGTTCCCCAGAGCAGTTCATTTCCTGATCCTTGAAACCTATAAATGTTACCTTATAAGACAAAGGAGACTTGAAATGGGGAGACTGTTGTGTGTTATCTTAATATTCTCTACCTCTAGGTTATGATATCCATTGCAATGGTTTCACTGATTCATGATTAAAGAGTTTATTAAGGAAGTTCACAGGTTGTAATGCGTGAGAGAAATGCTCAGGATACAGTTGTTTATGAGGACATGTTACAAAATTCTTTCGGGTCTGCTAATAAATACCCATAGGAGCTTACCATTTTACTGTAAGTCTCAACCCCAAAGCCTTCAGCTCAAACTCCATGGGTCAGCAAACCCAGCTTCCTGAATTACTGCCCAGAGGCACCCCACTCCACAAGCCCCAAACTACCCAAAAGCACTCAGTTTTATGTATGCCATAGGCTGGGAAGTCGACCACTCTGATTCATGTTCTGGCTCCTGGTTCTGCTGCTGCTGCTGCTCTGATGCCTTAGCTGTCGTGATTCAAGGGGTTCACTGCACAGGCACATTGAATCCAAAGGACACTCTCCACCCTGGTTCTTGATAGTAATGAAATCCCTCCTTCTACTCTTCAGAGGGCTCAGTCTATACACAGCAGGATGGTATTCCAAGAACTCCTGTTCACAAATGCTCATCGGTGAATCCTATCAGTATCTTCTCCTCTTCCCCGCCTCCCCACCACCACCCCTACCCTTACCTTCTTACCAGATCCATGCAGGAAAAGGTGGTTTGGTGGGAGTTGGAGGCTTTGGCTAGAAGAGTCACATTAAATAATTCACTGCTCCTGCAGTTATCCTATATAATCACAAGGAAAGGGAAATGACGCAGGAGAGTGAGAGAGATTTGAAGATCCCTCGCTTGCTGGCTTCGAAGATAGAAAGGAATGCAGTCAGCATTCTGGAAGTCAGCAGTTTAAACTGGATTTTACTGGGCTAAATTCAAGATGTCAACGGGGCTGCATTCCTTCTATGAGTCCTAGGGGAGAATCGGTGCATTTTCCAGCTCCTGGAGGCCACCTGCCTTCCTAGGCTGTGGCCCTCCCCTCCATCTTCAGAGTTGAAGTACAGCGTCTTCAAACCTCTCCTTGACTTTGCTGCCTTTTTCCACATAGTAAGGAGCCTAGGATTGCATTGTGACCACCTGGATTAGTCACACTACTTTTCCACCTCAGAGTCCTTAATCACGTCTACACAGTGTCTCCTTTCCCAAAAGTCTCTGCGGATGTTACCTTATATTGGGAGACCATTATCCTGCCTACTCCACACTTTTACATGATGAATAGGTTGGAGTTTTCTGCTGCGTTCTGGGTTCTACACGTTGACGTGCAAACAAACCAGGACATGTTCTTAGAAGAACAGTAAGTATAGTAAAGAGCTAACTCACTTGTGGAACTGCTCAAGGAACCATATATTTTAGAGAAGCCTTGCCACTTGAGAACTATATTGTCAGATAAGAGGTTTCGAATAAGTGAATAGAGGACCCTAGCTTGCCAGAAATTAGCACAATGAAGTACAACTTTTAGGAAACTGGGTTCTCATCCTAAATGGAAAGTAAAAATAATCCTCTTTTAATCATTTCTTAGCATTCAGAAGGCATCACTATGCAATGTCATAAAACGGAATTATTATTTCCTGGACAAAAGATAATAGTGGTAATATTGGCTTCCCTACTTAGTTATGGGGCAAAAGGTTTTTTGCAAATCAAGTGTATTTTCATAAAAACAAAAAGTTAACTGTGATCCTACTGGGTCACGATATTCTCTAAGATGTCACAAATCAAGGAGAAGGAAAGGGGCCTTGAAGAGATGAGTCTACATTCTTTACATGTGAAAAAGTCATTTTTCTCTGAAAGGCTTGGAGAGGAAAACAAGAAACAATTCTGCAAGGGGACAAACTTGAGAATTTTCATGACGCTTCCGAAAGCAGAAGTTGAGATGGGCTTTACTAATGGTTATTGTGATTGAACAGGACACCACTGACGTCATCCATCTCTGGCCTCTTTGTTGGCTTGTAAAGCCATGGAATAGGACAAATAAGGGGGGCGGACTAAGCCATTCATTGGATCAAGCATTTAAGATTAGTATATCAAACCTGCATTCGCCATGGGGTCTCGGGTAATTAATACCTCTACATTTTTAGTTTCTGGAAGCTCCTTGCCAGAAATTCAAACTGGATTCAGAAGAGGACATGAAACTAGGGATATTGCTGATGTCAAATAGATCCTGGCTGAAAGAGACTACCAGAAAGCTGTTATTTGTGTTTCATTAATTATGCCAAGGTATCCAACTGTATGAGTCAGAGCAAACTATGGGTAGCCTTGAGAATGAGAATTCCACAATACTTATACTTCATTGTGCTCAGCAGAACCTGTACATAGACTAGTCATTCACACAGAACAAGGGAATACTTCCTGATTTAAAATCAGGAAAGGTTTGTGTCAGGGTTAGCTCCTTTCACCATACTTATACAGTCTGTATGTTGAGCAAATAATCTGAGATGCTGGACTGTCTGAAGAATGCCAGGAGGACTTGATGATGATCAAAGACTAACCTTTATGGATTGCAACTCAATTTAAGGAAAACAAAAATCCTCACAGCTGGACAAATAAGTAACATGATAGAGTTGTCAAGGACCTCCTATTGCTTGGATGTACAATCAGTGTTCATGAACACAGCAGTCAAGAGAACCAATGACTCAATGCATTGGGCAAACCTGCTGCATAAGACCTCTTTAAAGTATTGAAGAGCAAGATATCACTTTGAGAACTACAGTGGGCCTGACAAAAGCCATGGCCTTTCCAATGCCTTCATATGCACATGAAAGTTGGACATTGAGTAAGGAAGACTAAAGAAGAACTGATGCATTTGAATTGTGGTGCTGGCATACATTGAAAGTACCATGGACTGCCAAAAGAACAAACAAATTTGTCTTAGAAGAAGTACAGACAATGCTCCTTACAATTGAGGATGGGGAGACCTCCAGTATTTTGGACACGTTATCGGGCAAGAGACATCAGACCCTGGAAAAGAAAATGTTTTGTAAAGCAGAGGGCAGCAAAAAAGACGAAGACCCTCGATGAGGTTGGCTGACTGAGGCTGCAACCATGGGCTCAAACACATGAACACTGGTACAGATGGGGCAGGGCTAGGCAGTTCTTTCGTTCCGTTGTACCTAGTTAGGGTCAATACCCGTCGGTACCCACTCAGTGGCAGGCACCTAACAACCACCACCTTTTAAATGGACTGAGAGAAATGTCCAAATGACCCATTCAGGAATAGACGATCCAATATCTGCTGTATTGTTAGGCCTTGGTTCTTACTGATGCCCGTTCCCAAGGAGACGGTCCTAACAGAAACGTTAAGCTAAGGGCTCTTTAAGGTGGCGCTGTTGTGTAAGCTTTGGACTGACAGCCACCAGGTCTCACCAGCCGTTCACAGGAGAAAGGTGGGGCTGTAAATATTTGCCGCTTCAGAAACCATGTAAGCGGAATGGATTCCAGGCCGCGGGCTTGCCTTGTTCGGTTTAATAAACGCCCCCAAACAAGAGGCTGTAACAAGGTGCCCAAGGTATCCGAGGTAACCGCGAGAAGACCGGAAGTGGCTCTGCTCCTCGCTAACAGGGCCCAGAGAACTTCCGTTCTCTTGCCGCTGGTAATTGGACCGGCCGCTTCTCGCGGCTTTACCAATTGCCAGCCGCTTAGCAAATCCCGTGCCGGGGGAGGCGGGGTTACAGCGGAGATGCTACCTGGTGATTGGCTGCGGGGCTCGGCGACCGCGGTTGCGGGGAGCTGGAGAGTCCCTGCTGCGTAGTGATTGGTTGCCGACCGGCGGGGCGTCTCGACCGCTGGAGAAGCGACTGCCTGCCGCAGGAGAGCCATGGGTCAGGCGGCCAAGGTGACCGCGCTCGTGTCGGGTGGGGTGGGCGGGATGCCACGGGGAGGGGGAATTCGCGGCATGGTGAAGATCGTCTGGGGTCTCCGTAGCTGGAGTCTCCGTAGCTGGAGTGCCAGACTGTCCACTGCGGATGTGGCCGTTTTTCCCGAGGACCCTGGCGACCCTCTAGAGGGGGTGGTGGAGGATTTGTGCAGGTGTGGCGGCGGGAGGGACGCACCAGTGTGGTGCCTACTTTTTGGTGCTACCGGGGTACCACCGAGTGTTTATCCGCCAACAAACCTGCCAGTTGGGTTCTCCCCTGTCATTTCTCCAGACCGAGTATGTGTCTGAGGGACACAGCGCACATCCCTTGGCAAGTGTAGGGGACGCCAAAGGCAATGCCGACCAACCACCACCCTGTGAGGTGCAAGCTTTATTCGTATACCCAGAAGATGCACAGATGTCTAGGACCCAAGGAAGCCACGCCCAAACGAAATCGCTTTTGCCCAAAGTAACGCTGTTCTAGACAGTGGAAGCTGGTGAGGCCTGAATGCTGTTAGTGAGATTGGAAAGTGCTGGTCTTGTCTGGGCCCCATTCCTGAGCACTTGCCCTCAGATTCCTGTTTCCTGTCAGCTTGGTACCCGTTCCTGTGCCCTGCACAGTTCTCAGGGGCTAGCCTTCTCCAACCTAATGCCATCAGCAGGGCCAGTTGGGACCCATTCCTGTCACTTGCAGAAACTGGCCTGGTCAGCTGCAATATGCTGAAGCAAAGAGATGCTTGTGGCTGGTAATAATAAGGAGCTTCATCATATACTATTGAACTTTGTGTGCTCAGCACCAGTGAAACAATTGTCAAGGATTAGTCACTCAAAAATGTACTGCACATTAGGCTGGGTTCGCTAGAGAGGCAAAATAAATGGTGCTTTTAGAGTGAAAAGTTTCTACCAAGAAAATTGCTCACACAGTTGTGGAAACAGACGTGTCCCGTTCATGTTCCATTGGTCACATGTTAAGCTGGAGGCTTCTGACACATAGCTTTGGGGATAATGAACCCAAGATTGGTAGGAACACTACAGGCTGATACTAGGCTGTAGAATTAGAGGCAAATGAATCCAAGGCCCTAATGGTTCCCAGGATTGGCAAGCAATATGGCTCAAGTCTAAAGAACTAAAGATTGATGAACAAGCTTTACAGTGACTGCTGACATGGGAAGTAGATTTCTCCCACCTCCATCAAAGTCTCTTTCAATTGCATTTGGGTTGTCACCTGAGTTAAGGGGTTGGACTCTATCCTAATCTTTCCACAACTGCTTGGCGACTCATAGCAATCCCATCATGGAGTTACTTGATTATATTATGTTAGATTACATCATATGGTAGGCCTCCACTGAGAAAACACTGAGATTCCTGGCCCAGGCAAGTTGACACAACCTAACCATCTGCAAGTGCCCATAACTATTTTCAGTCTATATTACCTATGCATAACAGATACAACAGTAAACAGTTTGGGGCTTGGGGGGGTCTTCTTTAAGGATGTCTAGCAAGGAGGAATATTTTAAATGATTAGTAATTAACATTGTGTTAAGTGCATTAAACTGAAAATGTGTTTTATGAGGATAGAATTGGGATTTAACCAATTTATCAAAACCAAACTTGTACCATCCAGTTGCTTCTGTCTGTAGCAAATCTATAGGAGCCCTGGTGACCCAGTGGTTACACATTGGGCTGCTAGCTTCAAGGTCAGCAGTTTGAAGCCACCAGCCAGTCCTTGGGAGAAAGACTAGAAGTTCTACTCCCATAAAGAGTTACATTCTTGAAAATCTGCAAGGACCATTCCAGCAGTCCTTAGGGTTGCTGTGAGTCGGAGATGACTCGATGGCAGTAAGTTTGTTTTTTTGCTATAATAACCCTGTAAGACAGAGTAGAACTGGCCCTGTGGGTGTTTGAGACTAAGTCTTTACAGGAGTAGAAAGTCTCATCTTTCCCTCAGATCACCTAGTGGTTTTGAACTGCCACAGGGCTTCTATTTGGAGAGACTCACAAAAGATCTTCCAGTTAAGTATAAATTAAGAGTATTCTAGGAGAAATGATCCTTGAAATCAGAAATTGCTTGGAAAATATGGGTACATGAAAATAAATAGCATTCATTTAAAAAATACTCTTTGATGAGGCCTACCATGATTAGGGAGTACCTGAGTGTTAACGGTTAACATGCTCAATTGCCACCAGAGGTTTGAGTCCACCCAGACATGCATTGGGGAAAAGGCCTAGCAATTACCCACCGCCCCCCCCCCATTATCCCCTCCCAACTCCTTCCCTCCTATAGCCATTAAACACCCTAGGACCACAATTATAGTACAACACACCTGAGGTAACTGAATCAGAATCAACTCCATAGCAACGTAACCAATTGTGGAATAAAACTATGCTAAGTACAGAGCATGCACAGGTGATCATGAAGCCTTTAGGGAAATATGGGACAATTGCTAGTAACATGCAGTGCTCTGGCAGGATCTGTGCCCCAAGCTGCGCATGTCCTTGGGGGCGAGAGGGGGGCCTTGTAACAGACTTAGAAGAGCTAAGGAAGTGATACCTATCTGAAGTGAAACCTGGTACAGAAATCACATGACCTATCTGTAAATTTAGCTAGTTGGCAAATTGAGGCAAAATGCTTAATGATTTTTCCAAGTTTACAGTAACTGGAAATGTCAGATTCAAACTGATCTAACTTAAACTTACATACATGCTACTCTGATTTCTTTCATCAGTGTAAGTTAATGAAGGGAGATCATCAGGTCACCCAGCTTTCTGTATTTTAGTAAAAGTTTACGTCTCCAAGGCTGTAATGATGGGTTTTTTAAATCATTTTTCTCTCACTCACTTCTTAATCCTATGCAACCTATTTTATACCACTCTGGCAATTTAAACTCCCTAGGTTTCTGCAATGCTCTCCGTTTTACCTTTTGTCTATCTCTGGTCACTCCTTTCATTCAAGACTTACAAAAAGTTACAAAAAAATTACACACAGTATCCTCAGCTTCCCTAACGTTTAACATTTACTAGACTTGTTTTATTGTTCTCTTTTAATTTACCCTTTGTCAAATACGAAATTCATTTGCATTGGATGTTTCCCAAGGTCTGTTCTCAGTTATCTCCTCCTGCCTCTACTTTCTCTTCATGTGATTTTCTCCTGACTTTTGCTTCCAAGGCTCCTTTCACTGATACTGTAATCTACAACTCTACTACTACCGACTCCCCTGAGCTTCAACATCCGACTCAGCATGATCGCCATCATCTTGAATGGAACAGGATACAGATATAAACGACCCTTATTTTCTTTTTCCTAAATTCTTTTAAACTTCCTGTTTCTTTTTAAGTCTCCAGTAGTCTCCCTGATTGGAAACTTTGAGCATATCTTTGACCCTTTCCCTTGCTCCTAACCTTCCAATTGTTGTTAGTTGCCATCGAGTTGTTTTCCAACATTCGTGTACAGCAGAATGAAGCGCTGCTGGTCCTGCACCATCCTCACATTGTTCTCTTTGTTTTCATGATTTTAAAATATATTTCGGTTGGGTTCTCTTGGAGAGTGAAATTTGTACATTCAGAACTCATTTGAGGACTGGCTCAAAAATACTCTGCCTTCCCAGTCAGCAAAAGATGAGTGTGAGGACATCTTTCCCCACATGCAGCAATGCTACTGTCAGGGGGTACACTTCGCTTATTTTTGTCCTCAGCTCACAGTTAGTTATGTCTGAGCCATCGTTGCAGCCACTGGGTCAATCCATTTCATCAGGGTCTAACCCTTTTTCACGGCCCTTCTACTCTACCAAGCATGATGTCCTTTCCCGTGGACTGGTGACAGTGTTTGCACATAGGGCGGCTAACTGCAAGGTTAATTCTTTGGGTTTTTTTAATCCTTTTATTAGGGGCTCATACGACTCTTATCACAATCCATACATACATCAATTGTGTAAAGCACATTTGTACATTCATTGCCCTCGTCATTCTCAAAACATTTGCTCTCCACTTAAGCCCCCGGCATCAGGTTCCTCATTTTTCCCCTCCCTCCCTCCTCCCCCCTCCCTCATGAGCCCTTGATAATTTATAAAGTATTATTATTTTGTCATATCTTGCCCTGTCCGACGTCTCCCTTCACCCACTTTTCTGTTGTCCGTCCCCCAGGGAGTAGGTCACATATAGATCCTTGTAATCCTTTCCCCCTTTCCAGCCCCCCTCCTTCCACCCTCCCATTATCGCCACTCACACCACTGGTCCTGAAGGGATCATCCGCCCTGGATTCCCTGTGTTTCCAGTTCCTATCTGTACCAGTGTACATCCTCTGGTCTAGCCAGACTTGCAAGGTAGAATTCGGATCATGATAGTGGGGGGTGAGAGTAGGGGGAAGCATTTAGGAACTAGAGGAAAGTTGTATTTTTCTTCATTGCTACATCGCACCCTGACTGGCTTGTCTCCTCCCTGAGACCCCTCTGTAAGGGGGTCTCCAGTGGCCTACAAATGGGCTTTGGGTCTCCATTCCGCACTGCCCCCGTTCATTCACTATGGTTAAGAGCAAGGTCAATTCTAAACCACCAGTCTCTCCTCAAGAAAAGACGTGGCATTCTACTCCCATAAAGAATTACAGTCTTGAAAACTCTACAGGGGCAGTTCTATCCTGTCCATAGGGTCGCTATGAGTGGCGTCAACTAATGGCAGTGAGTCTGGAGGGGGTTTTGGTCTCTCCTGGTAACTTGTCCAAAGTACTTGAGAGGGGTCTCCGAGGTATTCTTCCAAGACAGATTTGTTTGTTCTTTTGGCAGACCATGGTACTTTCAATATTCCACACCAGCACGATAATTTAAATGCATCCATTTTTGTTTCATTTTCCTTATTCAATGTCTAACTTCCTTAGGCAATCGAAAATACTATAGCTTGGAGCAGGCACACCTTAATTTTCAGTGACACTCTTTTCTCTTCAATATTTTAATGAGGCCTTGTGCAGCAAATTTGCCCAATTTATGTTATGTCTTTTGCTTTCTTGACTTTTTGCTTCCATCCACATTGGTTGTGGATCCCAGTAAAATGAAATCGTTCATAACTTCAATCTTATGTCTGTTTTTCATGATGTTGTTGGTTGGCCCACTTGTGAGGATTTTGGTGTTCTTTACATTGAGTTGTAATCCATACTGAAGGCCACAGTCCTTGATCTCCATTAGCAAGCAAGGTTGTGTCACCTGCGCATCCGAGGTTGTTAATAAGCCTTGCTACAATTCTAACTCTGGGCTCTTCATATAATCCAGCTTTGGGGGTTATTTGCTCAGCCTACAGATTGAATGAAGTCCTATATTTGTTTCTTAGGATTACTGTAACAAATTGCCACAAACTGGGTTACTTCAAAAATCCCAAATCAGGGTTTGCATGGGGTTCCTTTTGGGGCTCTGTGGGAGAAACCATGCCATGCATCGCTCCTAGCTACTGATGGTTGCCAACAATGTTAGGTGTTCTTTGGCTTAGAGATGCACCTTTTCACTCTATGCGTCCATCTTCCTATCACTAGCTTCTCCGTGCCGCTGTGTGTCCCCGTCTGTTTCATAAGGAAATGCTAACTGGATGTGATGCCTACCCTAATCCAATATAACCTCATCTCAAGCCTTACCTTAAAGACCCGATTTCCAAATAGTGTCATGGTCTGCAGTTCCACATGGCGATGAGTTTTGAGAAGACTATTCGATCTTGGACTGGAATAGTGACAGTAGGCAAGGAGAGAAAGGGGAGGTGGCAGATGTGGCAGGGGAGGGGAGAAGAGGGACTATCACTAACTTCTGTCTATCCTTTCTCAGATTTCTAAAATGTAAAGATAAACAAGAGATTCCTGGCTTGAGCTATATTACAGATGATGGCCTCTGTTAGTGAAATCGAGACGATGAGGAAGAACAAATTGGGGAGACAATCTTGAGTTCCTTTCCTTTTGAATATGAAAAATACAGGAAATGGTCTTTAACCTCTCACTAAAGCCTCTTCACGCACTCTTTATAAATCAAAATCCCAGGTTCATTTCTCTCTTTTTTCTTACACATATGCAATCTATTCATAAATTCTCAGCAGTCCATTTCTCTTTTGAGATGTTATCATCGTACTAACTGAAACATCTCCCTCTGGGCTCTCTTGAACTGTAATAAGTTATGACTGTGTGTAAGTTTGTGTTCACTCTTGATGGTAATGGAGACCTCCATGTGTATACTCTCTCGAGTAGTGCTTCTCCTAGCTGTTAAGAGCTATCTTTGGTTTTATAGCTGAGTTCTAGCTAACCTTTTATGGGTAATTCTTGCCTTCTCTAGGAAAATATAGAAAGTGAATGTTTATAGAGTATATGAAGTTAATACAAATCAAAGCTCAATAAAGAGCTTAACAAACAACAGTAAAAAGTCCACATCTTATGATTTATTTATGAAAGTAAATACAGACCTTTGACATAAATATTAATCATATCCAGCCATGTTTCAAAATATACCATGTTGG